CCAGCACTCGGGAGGCAGAGCCAGGTGGATCTCTGTGAGTTCCAGGCCAGCCTGGGCTACCAAGTGAGTCCCAGGAAAGGTGCAAAGCTACACAGAGAAACCCTGTCTCGAAAACAAAACAAAACAAAACAAAATCACAATGATATAAAAATGATTTTAGCTTTGGAACAAATTTCAATTAAATTAGCGGAGATAATTAGATTAGACTTCCAGCCACAGCTTTAACACTTGGTCTTTTTTTTTTTTCTTTCCTTCTTTCTAATTTTAATGTGTTATCAATTCAGGGACAGCAGTATTAGTGAGTACAATCGAGAGATAAATTATTTCAACCTGGTATAGAGCTTTCATCTCAAAAACACTGACAAGCAAATTAATATTAATTAGCAAACCCTCAGTGATGGTACAACCCTGGCTAGAGTCATGTATGAAACCTGTTCTGATGTCCAGAGCAATTTTGTTGTGAGGGAAGCTTTGGAGACCTCAGAGACTAGTCCCAAAAGAAGCGGGGAGAGACACAAAAAGGATGGGGACCTGAGGGGGGAAGTGTGTCAGCATCAAGGCATCGGTCCTTCCGGGCAGCCTCCCATCCAGATCACAGACTGACCTGTGAACAGTCTCGGCACTGGCCGCCTAACTCTGCCTCCTGGTGCACTCCTATACAGAAGTTACTAGACTATCGGGTGGGTAAGAGACAGCTCTGAGACCAGACAGCTCTGAGACCAGACCAGACGCCTCCTGTGGGAGGAACATGGACATTAGCACACACTAGAGCAGCTGTGTCATGATCCGGCTCAGGCTGGAAGACTAAATGCTCGTCTGTGAATGGGTTAGGTAAACGGGGTCTGAGTGAGGTCTTCAGATCAAGTGAATAACGTGACCAACTCACCTTTTTACTCCCGAATTTACTTTGCCTTTCAGTGTGAGACTAAAAGGATCGTAAACCTGGGCAGTAAGCATTCTTGTGAGCAGATGATAAATTAATTCCAAGGGTGACGTTGAGTAATGGGGATCTTCCCTGTCTCTCCCCGTGTGGAGGAGGAACATTAGTCACCGGGAGAGGTTCCAGCCCAGACCTTTCACCAGAATGGCCCATTGTGCTGCTTCTGTGTGAGACGGTCGGGAGTTTGTTGTGAGATATGGAGCGGGTTACCTCACCGTGCCGGTCTGAGAGCAGGGCTGTGGAGATAATCCCTGGACATGAGTCGGTCCGTATAAAGTATGAGCCGAGCCTCTTTCCAGGCGATGATGATAAAGGAGGGGCGTGGCCAGTCACGTGACTCGGTGCCGGGAACTCAAGGCCGGATTAGTCTGAGCTAAGGAATAGCTGATAGAGGGGGTGTCTGTGGTTCCTGGGAGGGCTGTGTGAGGCAGCCGGGAGAGGACGGTGCTTCCATCCCATGAGGAGCGTCTGAGATTAGGGTTGGGATGGTAACCAGAAGTTCCGAGGTCAGCCATTGGTCAAGCAGAGGCCAAACACAGATTAGAATTTCTGGAACTTTCTCTTTGTCTTGCCTCCTCATCACGAGTCCTTCTCCCCCACACACACAAGGGGAGAGCTGTAGGGTTTCCACATGTGTAAATTGCTCTTCCAGCACCTCGGTTCATTAGCCCTCCAGCACAGGGAAACGGGCAGAGTGGGAAGCCCCTCAGACAGGAGACAGTGTTATGGGGTTGTTTTGGGTGTCGACTGCAGACTCTAATTACAGTTAAAGGGAAAGACAGCTTTATCCCAGCACTTGAGATACTGAGACAGAAGGATTACCTGGAGCTCAAGACCAGCTTGGGCTACATAATGACTTCCAGGACAGCTTAAGCTACAGAGTGAAATCTCATATATATATATTAACAAGTGGGAAAGCTTTGAATTACATTCATCAAAGCAATGTAAGTCACGTTGCTTGAGAGTCTTTCAGCTCTCCCTCTCTCCCTCCTGTCCATCCTTCCTTCTCCATCGACCCCCCCCCCATGCTAGGAATGGACCCCAAGGCATGCTTTAAAGGGTCCACTAGACTAGACGTTGTGAGCATAGGCAGGAGCAGAGTGATACTCTGGGTACAGACAGGGTCTCGATGGAGCTGGGGAACCCTCAGACTGACACCCAGGAGAGATTTCCAACAGGAGGAGGCCTGAGCGTCAGACCACCAGGCAGGAGAGATCGTGGACCGGGAGCAGCAGAGGGTTCAGGGAGCTGATGGGTTCTCTAGATTTGCGTATTGAGGAAAGCAGGTAGAGTAGACGTGAAGAAGAAAAAGAAAACGGAGAGTCCAGTGCAGAAGGGCAGGAGAGCAAGTAATACCAGCAAGAGGGTTAGGGAAGCACACTGGCTCTGAGAGCTGCCCCTAAGGTGTGACAAAGAGTCCAGGGTCAGGCTTCTGAGGGGAGCCACGGAGGAGGAGTCTGTGCTTTCACACGGCGTTCCCAGGAGCCCGGTGGGAGAAGACAAGCAGGAACAGGTTCTGCTTTAGGGGAGGCGAGAACGTGCAGGCCGATTCCAAGCTTTGGAATCCGCTGAATTAAAATCCCAGCCCTGGGATTTTGCACCACGTGATCGTGGGAGCAGGATTTAACTTCTTTGGATCTTCTCGTTTCAATTCCAAGCCAACTTTTGTAGTAGTAATATTTTCACTTACTACATTTTTATTTTCATTAGTCTCATAGCTCTTTGTTGCTTATTCCTTTTTCTTGGTAGACTGGAGATCAACTCTAGGGCCTTGCATGTCCAGCATGCATGTTACTGGTAAAGGAGCTATATGTTGAGTCTTTTAAACAGTGTGTCTGGTTATTTGAGAGTTAGCCCCATTTTTTTTAGAAAGTTTTGGTCTTAATATAGGATTGATTTTATTCCATCTGCCATTTGAGGGAGACGGGGGTGGGGTTTGAAACAAGGTCTCTGGATGTAGCACAGCCTGGCCTTGAACTCACAATACACTTGCTCGGCCTCCCAAAGACCAGGGGCATCTCCAGCATTCCCAGATTCTTGCAGCATTTTGAAAACGTTTTCTCCTCTGTTTTCCTTTTACAGGAAGGGGTAGTGTGCATGATTTGGAAGTGGGGATTGGTTTAATGCAAATAAATACTGTTCATTTCACGGTTTCTTTACCAGTTTGTAAGTTCCGGGTGCTTTTCTATGCTGTTAGTTATCATTTCCTTTCCATTTCAGAAGTCATTAACTTCTGCAGCGTGTGTTGTTGCCTCAGTTTCTCTTTCTTTCTTTTCTTTCTTTTTTCCGTGTGTGTGTGTGTGTGTGTGTGTGTGTGTGTGTGTGTGTGTGTTAGGATCTGGATCCAGGGCTTCATATTCATACTCTACCACTAGGCTAAAACCCCATTAAATGAAATGAGTTAAGTATTTCCTACATGAACGCTCTAAGTCCTAGAAAATCATTTTACTCCCCATCTCTTAATAGATTCTCTTATTTTCCCTTCCTGCAGCCCCCTTCTCAGAATCAGTGAGCTCAGTTAAGCTACATCTCCTTCAAAGAATTGTCGCCTATATTTATTGTATTTGCAACAACCAAAAAAAAAAAAGGCATTTACTTGACTGTATACAATTGCAGCAAGTGTTGGAATAAACACTATGAGGACTGAAGACCAAGCCTCAGGCCCTGTGTGTGTTAGGCAAGAGTTCTATGAGCGAGCTGGAGCCACAGCCCTTGATTCAGACCGTCACATTCAAAATGAAAACAAAGCCCAGTATGGTGATACATGCCTGTAAGTCCAGCACGGGGGAGGCAAGGGCCAGCCTGAGTTAGTCAGTCAGTTCCAAGCCGGCCTAAAATACATAGCAAGATGCTGTCTCAAAGCAAATAAATAAATTACACACACACACATAATACATATATCTTAGAGATTACTGTATACTTTGTATCTAACTTTAAAAATCAGCTAATTTCCCCAGGATTTCAAAGTATTAATAGCATAGTAATAAATAGTACATTTATAATATATATGTATATACTTATATATAGTATGTTCTTATCCCTGTCCGTTTTGACCCTTTGTGGCACTACTGGCTATTCTGCTGTTCATCATTACTAGGAATGCTTCTGCACCTTACTTTGAAATTTGGGTTGACATTGTAGCCCAGTGGTAGATTATAAGGCCCTGGGTTCAGACCCTAGCACAAAAAAAGAAATAGGCAAAACTGTGCATGTTGCAGAAGTTGATGACATCCGTGTGTTCTCCATTCTCCTCATGCAGCAGTGAAATACCTTCTCCACCTGTGTAGATAGAAGCCTGCTCAGAAGGACCAGGGCAGTCCCAGACTGCGATGGGTGCAGGTGGGATGTCCACCTAGCCCGTGAGCACTCCGAGTTCCTCCTCCCCATATCCTCCTGGTAGCTGAGTGCTGTCTGTGGCAGTACAACAGGAGTTACTGGGATCAGCACACGGCCTCGTGATTTCCACGTAGTGGACCCACACTGGAGCATGGCACCGTACCGAGTGTTCTGTCTGGTACCACGAGCTCACCAGCCGTCCTGTCAGGAAGTCAGTGCTGGACTAGGTTTCAGGAAGAAGACCCCAGGCGTCATCACTTGTTCAGTGGTCCACAGCTGGCCGGGGGCAGGATGTGGGTAGGTTCAAGTTCCTGTGCACTTGGGTGTCTACCCCACTCCCTTTTTGCATCCTAAATCCTCTTGGCAGAAGGTACGGTACTGTGCAATTTCTAAATACAATCCGAACTGACAGTGCATTTCCGTTTTGTATGGCAGCGACATGTTGTTCCCATTTACTGTGCCATTGAAGCATCCTGATAGCAGCAGTTCAGGTGGGACTGGGTTGCTCCTGTCCCTATTACAGAGGCTTGGGGGGTGGCATCCATTTCTTTTTATCTCAAGAGCCAGTGGACTAGGAACGAATTATATAACTTCAAAGGATGAAGGGTGAATATTCACAGCGTTTTATGGTTTGTCTGGACATGCTCTTCTGTTATAAAGCTGAGTCTTTATGAAGTTAAATGTTGAGGACTTAAAGATGTAACGAGCTTTATTGGCCATCCGGGGCTGCTGCCCTCACAGAATTCCATTGGCCGGGTGATTTCAGCATCAGAACTCTGTTTTCTCACAGTCTGGAGTCAGGGACGCCCAGATCAGGGTTTTGGTCCATGCCTGCTTGATGAGGCTCTTTCTTCCTCTGAGCACAGGCAACAAAAGGGAAAAGAATGGGCTGTGAAAATGACTCAGTGGGTAAAGGCCCTTGCCGCACCAACGCATCATGCACACACAGAGTGTAAAGATAAAAATAATACATATTATACACACTCTCACAGAGAGAGGGCGAGCTCTGCTATGTCTTCTTAAAAGAACACTAATTCCAGGTGGTGGTGGCGCACGCCTTTAATCTCAGCACTTGGGAGGCAGAGGCAGGTGGGTCTCTGAGTTCGAGGCTAGCCTGGTCTACAGAGCAAGTTCCAGGACAGCCAGGGCTACCCAAAGAAACCCTGTCTTGAAAAACAAAAACAAAAACAAAAACAAACAAACAAAAAAACACTAATTCTATCAGATAAGGGCTCCCCTCCTTAGGGACCATTTGAACTTTTCTTATTTTGTATTTTTGCTTTCTGAAGCAGGGCCTTCTGCAGAGCCCGGTGGCCTGGGACAGTGGTCTTCCTGTCTTAGCCTCAGTGCTGAGATTGTAGGCATGCACCACCATGCCCAGTTAGTTCAATCTTCATTACCTTCTAAAGGACCTGTTTCCAAATACAGTCACACTGAGGATTAGAGCTTTAACACAGGAATGTGGAGTTGGGGGACACACTTCTGTCTATAGCAATAGATGGTTTCTTTTTCTTTTTTCTTTTTTATGTTTGTTTGTTTCAAGACAGAGTTTTTCTGTGTAACAACTCTGGCTGTCCTGGAACTCACTCTGTAGACTAGGCTGGCCTCGAACTCACAGATCAGCATCCTCTGCCTCCCAAGTACTGGGATTAAAGGTGTGTTCCACCACCACCCGACAATTTTTTTTTCCTTATGTTCAAAATTCTTACTGAAAAAAAAAAATGTGTGACCTCAAACTAAATAATCATTTAAATTACTAAAAGTCATAATAAATATACTTTAAATTCTTAAAATAATGAATACCTATATTACCCTCCAGTTTAAAAGGTTGCATGATCTGTACTTACTTAGCAGCTCATCCTGGCACTCACCAGCAGGCTCTAAGATGACCAGAAAGTAATATTTGCTTTTCCAACATTGTTTGCCTATTCTCTGTGTGACTGTTGACAGACAATTGTTGTGTTTTGGGCGTGGGGGAGCGTGGAGCCCTGCAATAGGGGCTCCACTTCCTGTTAAAGACAGAAATGGAAAAGATTTGACTATAGAGATGACTGTGGCTTG